CCCTATATCAACATGACTCAGCGTCTTACCCCTATATCCACGTGACTGCAACGTATCCCTGTATCAACATGACTCAGCACCTTACCCCTATATCCATGTGACTCGGCTGCAAACCCCCATATCAACATGACTCAGCACCGTACCTCTATATCCACGTGACTCAGAGCCACACTCCTGTATCCACAACTCTGCAATGTATCCCTATATCAACATGACTCAGCACCGTACCCCTATATATCCACTGCACCTGGCACGTGGAAAGTGTGTGCAGAGTTTTTTTTTGAGGTAGGGTCTCATTCTGTTGCCCAGGCCAGAGTGCAGTGGCGTGATCGTATCTCATGCAGCCTCTACCTCCCGGGCTCAAAAAGATTTTCCAACTTCAGCCTCCTGAGTAGCTGGGACTATGGGCATGTGGTAGCATGCCTAGTTTTTTATTTTTGTAGAGGTGGAGTTTCACCACGTTGCCCAGGCTGGTCTTGAACACCTGGGCTCAGTCTGCCCACCTCGGCCTCCCAAAGTGCTGGGATTACAGGTATGAGCCAAGGAGCGTTTTGGAGATAAGGCAACAAAAGCACATAGAACTTAAGGTCGCTGAGCATGGAGCTGAGCCCAGAACTCCAAGCTCTTGGCACCTGATTCGGTGCCATTTTCACTCCTCCGAATTTCTGTATCTCTGCAGAACGGAGAAGAGCTGACATTAGGAATTTCTTCCGAGTTCTAGGCAGTCCCTGAGCTCAGTGCTGAGACTTCGCTGTTAACCAAAACAGCTCCCAGCTCTGTGCGAACTGGAAACTTCTCTGCCCCTGACTTAGTGCTCCTTAGTTATTCTGCAGGTAACTTACCAAGCACCTACTATGTGCTAGGCATCATGTTAAGGTTGGGGGGTTGGAGGAGCAAGGTTCCTGACCTCAGGGGCGAGTATAGTCTGGTGGAATCAACCCGATTAGAGCTGCCACAGGCTGTTCTGATCCTTCAAAAAAACGAACTAAGCAAAGGAGCATTAGTCATTCTGGCCAGGTGCACTCTGGCCGTGCCTGGAGGGCACCTATCTCTGGTGACAGACCCCTAGTGCAGGCTCCAGGACAAACGCGGCCGGCCTCAGGGGCCTGCTCAGGGCCTTGCTCAGTGAGAACTGCTTTTCACACTGACCTACAGTGCCTGCCGTGAGCCACAATCTGGGCCAAGAGCACACTAAGTTCAGGCAAGTACTCATTGTGTTTAAATAATGACTTTTGGGGAGCTAAGCCATGAGGACATAAAAGCCTACGAGTGATACAGTGGACTTTGGGGACTCGGGAAGGGGTTGGGAGGTGAGGGATAAAAGATGACAGTGTACAGTGCTGGGGTGATAGGTGCACCAAAATCTCAGCAATCACCACGAAAGAACCTACATACTGTAAGCAAACACCACCTGAAACCCAAAAACTTACTGATATTTTTAAAAATTAATTAAAAATAAATAAGTAAAAGCTTTTTGGCTGCTGTCAACAGCATGTTCCTGAAAAATGTTGGAATTGGGACTTTCCTAGAGGGTGGCTGGTAAGAAATTTATTCACGTCAGGAGTTCTTTAAAATTTGTTTTAATTGGTACTTCTGCATTAGAAGTAACTACAAATGTCTTATTAAAGTTTCCACTTTAAATGCACAATTTTACTTCATTTTATTGTAAGGAATTGTTACAGAAAATGCAAATATCAGTATTTGAAAAATACATTCCATTACACAGACCCCAAAGAAACAATGCTGATAAGCGCCATGGTCCTACATGATACCGTCACCCCACAATGAGCACTGCCCGAATGGGCTGGAAGCCTGGGTGACTGGCCGAATGTGTGCCTGCAGTTTCTGCCCAGCTAAGGCCCCTCCTCTGGGGTCACAGGGATGTCGTGGTAACAGCCAGCTCCACACATCTGCCAAAAAGGGCAAGTCATCAAGTCAAGCAGTCCCGACTCAAGACTCCCTAGCTGCAGAAAAGCAATGTTAGTTGTAACAGGTTGCTGTATTATTTATGCCACACGGAAAAGGAATTGTACAGGCAATGATCTTCCAAACAAAGTCTTTAAGGCATCTGTAACTTCTGGGAATTTCAGGGTTGGTATCTTGTCAGTCAGCTCTTCACTAAATTACTTCCACAGAGTGAGAAGGTGGCTTCCGAGTCCCGCTGGTGAGCTGTGCCCCTGCTTCCTCTGCTCCCAGGCTGGGAGTGGGGAGCTTTGGTGCTTCAGCTAGTTCTGGGACTTGTCCCAAGGGAAGCAACTGTCTGTCATGGAGGCGTGACCCTTACTTGTTCAAGCTGCTGTCACCTGGGAAGACGGCTTGACTTTCAGGGCTAAGCATTACAGAGTTCAGAGAGTTCTTTTTCTCCAGATAAAGGAAAACTAGATGGAGGTGAAGGCCCTCCCTTTTCCCAAGATGTTCCCTCCACGCCATGCCTATGGACAAGATTAGTGCAGTCACGGTTCAATACGGCAGGTGTGGGACATGGACGGGAGGAGTGGCGAAGCCACACACACACTGAGCTCCACACAGGGATGTGAGTGAGGGCACGGAACGGGGTGGCCAGAGATGACTCGGGGCTCTGAGGTAGAGGACTCAAGGTCACGTAGACCCCACTCCTTGGAGAGAACGTGGCAGGTGAACTGAGCAATCTAATCCAGCCTCAACTAAATTAGTAATCGGGGTTGACACAGCACACATGTTCTAACACATCATTCAGTGAGATGCCACTAAAAAGATGACTGAACGTTCAGAAGTCCTAAGTGTAGGCACTTAAGTTTATGGGACATTTCGGTGTTAGAGGATCATAGCAAATTAGTTTAAGCCATTTGATTTATATATAGCACGTGGTTTGTACCTTTGTCTTAAAAACGACAACAAAAGACTGCTAAGAATACACTGGATAATAAATCTGGCGATGAGCAAGGGCAGTTCAAGAGCGCACTCAGCTTGAGGTTGACTGCTGCAACAAATCAAGTTTCTTTTCCTGCTCTACTCATTAAGTGGGAACTTTCTGAATGAATTAAAATGAATTTTGGCTACTAGTGCTTAAGTTATGCTGAAAATTTAACAGCCAGGCAGTTTTGTATTCAAGTGTTGGCAGCAGGGAGAGACGGGAAGGACTGGAAGCATGCCTGGGCCCGGCCAGGGCAGCTATGGCGGCATCTGCGCAGTCGGGGGCTTCTGAAGCTTTTCCTGTATCCACATGGATGCCGCCTGCAGCCAGTGTGTAACAGGACTAAAAGACGTTCTGGCCGGGCACGGTGGCTCAAACCTGTAATCCCAGCACTTTGGGAGGCCGAGGCGGGTGGATCACAAGGTCAAGAGATTGAGACCATCCTGGCCAACACGGTGAAACCCCGTCTCTACTAAAAATACAAAAATTAGCTGGGCATGGTGGCGCACGCCTATTAGTCCCAGCTACTTGGGAGGCTGAGGCAGGAGAATTGTTTGAATCCGGGAGGCAGAGGTTGCAGTGAGCTGAGATTGTGCCACTGCAGCACTCCAGCCTGGCAGCTGGCAAAAGGGGGTCCCTTTCCCCAAAAAAAAAAAAAAAAAAAAAATCCTCCCAGTCCACAGCTGCTCAGTACCATTGCTATCCCTGGACTCAGGGAAGAAACAGAAACTCCCATCAATGTATTTGAAACATGATCTTAAGATTTTAAGTGCAATTACAAGCAAGATTGGTATTGAAATTGGTAAGGTAGGGCATGGGCAGAACAATCAGCCTCACCCCTGACTGATCTCCAGGTTCCTTTTCCATCCTGAACATTGAAAGAACAGGCATCGATGTACTAGCCACTTCAATTCATATCCAAACTATGATTATCTTCCTAACTCAGGTAACCAAGCTACCTAAGCTCTGCCTGCCGGCTTGCTTATGGCCCGTTTCAGGCAATAGGAAATGGAAACTGACCACATACCTCAGGTGGTCAAATGTTTGCCAAGGCTGGCAGAGTTCGTCCATTAAAAGTTCTCTATGAAACATGTCAGACTGGGGGACGGGGGACTCTTCTAATTAATTTTTTTCTTTTAAATATTGTGCACAAACTTATATTAACATAGAAAGCACACATATCTTATAAATCACAGAGATGTTTTTTAAAGTAGCACGCCAATTTATCAGCTCATTTTACACGTTTAGGCAACAGAATGTGTAAATCCACAGCAACACAGAGGACACACTACCTAGAAAAGAAACAAATGATGTTGCAAAAAATATTTAGTCCCTTTAACACACATATTCAAACTTCATTAATGCAAAAAGGTAGTGGTTATTAAATGAGAGGATCAGCATGTCTGACTGAGACTCAGTCTCCGAGTACAACACACAGCGTTCACTCAGAGTTGTTTTGTTTTAAAGCAGTGGTAGATGTTTCTCTTTAAATGTGCATTTTTTAGAAACTGGCTAAACCTTCAAAAAAGAAGTTTAACAGCTCATGGTTAATAGATGTAGTAGCAGCAACTAAGGCCCAGCAAGTTTTGGTGGCCTCACCCAGCACACAAGCCAGAGACTTCCAAAATGGGGTGGTGCACACGTGGCTGTGGCCCTCAGCTGCTGGCCCTTCACAGGGCACGGCAAGCTACACGGAACTGGGGTCAACAGCATTCGCAGCATCACGAGGGAGGATTTCAGCAAGAAGCATTTGCGTCAAGGACACAGGACCTGCCGGCCTGAGGCTGGAGACACTCTTGGGGCTGAAGCCATATTGATCGTGCCTCATCACTCAGCCTGGATGAATCTCTTGCTCTCAAAGACACTACAGAGTTTTTCCTTAAAGATTAGTGTGAGCTGAGGTCCAGTCACAGCTGATCATTGGACTCACTGATGCAAGGATGTGTGAGGGTGTGTCTGAACAGGGACTTTTAAATTGGGATCACCGATAATGCAGCTCTATAAAAGGGCAGCACAAAGTGCGCTTTCTCCACCACTCTCCAGCGGCAGAGGGACTGGGGCTCCACACAGCACGCAGCAAGACGAGAGAATGAGACGCTGCCACGAGGTGTCAGGCGGCCAGCTGCACCCGACACCTGCGTAGCACGAACACTGTAAAGCTTTCAGTTGGTAAGGCCACAATTTTTCAGCTCTCATCTTTGAACCCTGTTAAAGATTTCACCTTTTTAAAAGGCGTAGCTCACTAAAACACAGCTTAGCTTAAAAAGAAAAAAAGACTTCAGGGCAAGAGGATCCCATTATCTTTATGAAAACACTGTGCAGAAAAGTCCACAGCCACCACCCTAGCGTGAAGCTGGCTCACTAGGCAGCCAGCTTCCTACTCTGTGAGGCTCTGCCGCCTCAGCCAGCCCAGGCGGGAAGACTTCATGAATGCTCTGGGATGGACACCAAGCTACTAGAAGCGAAAATGCTTTTCCAAGTGTCCTTGTATGTTGGTAGCAGAATGGGGAGGGGTCTAATTCCTAATCACATTAACCACTTAGGCTAAATGGCCTGGTCCAATCAATGAGACACCTAGTGAAACTGATCACAGTCTGACACACACACTGACAATCATAGGGAATCACTGGAAAACGGATCTATCACACCATGGTCCTTAAATATTCCAGTCTATTGCCGCAGGAGGATGACTGCCAGCCCCTGCTCTGGGGGGAGTCAGGCTGGTGAGCAGAGCAGCTGCTGGGGAGGTGACCAAGAACGTGGCCTGGACGCTCCGGGGGCTCACTAAGAGACCCCACCCAGAGTCAGCACATCAAAGCAAATGTTGCAAACTCGCACAGGCTTGTTCAGATCAAACTTGATGATAGGAATCTCCTTGGTCGAGCATTTATGGCAAAGAAGACGTCCGCAGTGACGACTGTGGAAGCAAAGAAGGCAAGTATGAGGGGAGCACTGAAGACACACTGCCTCCCGGCGTGTGAGGGCACCCCCAGCAGGGGCGCTGAGGCAACACCGCCAGCCAAGTCACAGCAATTCATGGAGAATTTTTAGTCCATGAAAACAAAACTCTAGTCAGTCATCATGTTAAAGCGATACTGAAGAAGGCTTTTTTTTCTTGAGAATCAAGAGCAGCTCAGGCTAAGCACAACGTTCACAACTGCCATCCCAGCACTTTGGGAGGTGGAGGCAGGTGAATCACTTGAGGTCAAGAATTTGAGACCAGCCTGGCCAATATGGTGAAACCCCATCTCTACTAAAAATACAAAAATTAGCTGGGCGTGGTGGTGCACACCTGAATTCCAGCTACTTTGGGAGGCTGAGGAAGGAGAATCGCTTGAACCCAGGAGGTAGAAACTGCAGCAAGCCAAGCTCATGCCACTGTACTCCAGCCCGGGTGACAGCAAGACTATCAAAACCAACAAAGAGAGCAGCGCAGCACTTTTTCTTCTTGAGAAGTCTCGCCTGTCACCCAGGCTGCAGTCAGTGGTGCGACCTCAACTCACTGCAACCTCCTGCCTCAGCCTCCCAAGTAGCTGGGATTACAAGTGCCTGCCACGACCCCCAGCTAATTTTTGTATTTTTAGTAGAGATGTGGTTTCGCCACATTGGCCAGGCTGGTCTCAAACTCTTGACCCAGATTGTGGCTCACGGCAGGTACTGTAGATCAAGTGATTCACCCGCCTCCACCTCCCAAAGTGCTGGGATTACGGGTGTGAGCCATGGTGCCTGGCCTATCTATCTCAATTTAATGGGAACAGCTCCTCAGTGTCGCAAGCAGCCCATACAGAGGCACACCATGACGGCAGTAACTCATCTCAGCTTTGCTGCAGGCTGGAAGCCAGGGAGGATGGCACAGGCCTAACGGGCCGCCTGGGAACTGTGCACTTCAGCTTCCACAGGACAGCACCAGTCTGCAGGTCCCTCCCTTCCCTCCATCTCTTCCTCAGTCAGATCCTCGGGTGTGCCCATCTCATTACTCCATTTGATACAGTTTTGCCCATGAGTGTGCAGGACCCGGGCAGGTTCATGGCTTAGCCTGGAGAAAGGCAGAGGCAGTGACGTCGGCGGAAGTCCCCCCACTTGTCTGACAGTGACGCTGGGGTCTTACCAGTGGTGTTTGCGAGTCGTGACTCCAAACTTGGCAGTGCACTCGTAGCAGAAGGAGCCGTCACACCACGGAGGCTCCTTGGACAGCATATCTGTAACACATGGGAGAGGACTAGTCCCATCAAACAGCGACTGCCAGGCAAGTCTCAGGGCTCAAAGGGAGCAGGGAAACACCAGCAAGTGAAGCCACACACTGCCACGTGACACAGGCCAAGGGGCACAAAGGTTCTAAGTGGTTCAGGGACAGCTTCCCAGAGGAGACGAGAATCAGCACTTGCCAGGGAGAATGGGGGAGAAGGAAACAGGCCAATGAAGTGAATCCATGTGGCGTCTGCGTAGGGAAGGCAGCGTGACATCTGAGGGTAGGTGGCATGGTGTCTGTGGGGGGGAGGTGGCGTGACGTCTGTGGGGGAGGTGGCGTGACGTCTGTGGGGGAGGTGGCGTG